TTACGATTACAAATATTAAAAAAAAGAGATATTGAATCTTCTTTCAGTTTTCAAGATAGGATTTAAAACTTATTGCCAACTATTAATAAAGCATATAGATAATTTCTATATGTCAAAGTTAGGCTAGTTCCTTTATGAATTCTTGCGTTATTCTAAAATTATACCTATGATTGCTGCTTTATTGGAATGAAAAGCTAACAAGAACCCCCCTCCAGTTAAACTTGGTATGTACAGGGTGTAATAGCAACAAAAAAAAACAGAAAGACAACTATAAGATCACCACCTCTATGTGGTTATCTATCTAGATATATAAAGCGTAAGAGTGACATAAATAACCTTCATCCGTTGTGAATATTTCCTTCAAGAAATCTCAACAAAACTCATTTTGTTTTACAGAAGCAATGGATTTACGGTACCTAAAATTAAATTTCATGAGACTAGATTATAAATCAAAAGGGAATATTTAGTACGCTTAAGATAGAAAATCAAATCAACTCATATATTTTGGACCTTTTTTATGATTCTTTCAAATGGAAAACCGCAATTAGCGTGGTAAGAGGTTTGTAGTATGTTCCTATCGGTAGATAGAAACAATGGCAGAGATTCCAGACGCTTTTCGTTCTGTTCCAATACCTCCGCATCATAAACCATCGGCATGAACCACGGTGCACCTACGGAGGCATACTCGAGTTTTTTGACCTTGGTATAACCATTCTCGAGATCGGACGCATGCAAAATTACCGGGAACGTATGACGCGTCGTGTTGTTGAAGGTGTCGATGGGCCTCAGTTTGGACGCAAAAAGAGGTGGCGTGAGGCTGATGAAGATCTTCTCAGAGGTCCTTTTCCCGTCTATCCACTTGGGTACGGCAAGCTTCGTGTAAATCTTCGTGCCGTGTGCGACATATGCTCGCTTATAAAGGTCCGCTACAAAGAGACCGACATTATCGATTCCATCTATCTCGTGTGAGTGCGGGTGTTCAAGCCCGTCCGACGGCAGGTATTTCGCCCAGAGCTCATCGTGAATTTCGGTTTGGTGTATGTATCTGAGCGCAATAACCACCGAAAGCGCATTGGCGTAGTCTAACCCGAGGAAACCGGCGCGGATACCGTAAGTGGACCGCGCCGCCTGCCGCTCATGCAACGGCATCGAGAAAACATCCTGCTCAACTTCCCACGTTAAGAGATCCAGATAGAAGCGTGAAAAGATGGATTGATCGCAATACCATCCTCTCTCGATTCTAGAGGTTGGTTTGAGGATTTCTGTCAACTTTTTAACCTTCCCTAGGTATTCCATGTACGCCCACACACGGACAATTACGATACCCATGTTGGAATGGCGATATGGGGATTGGTCAAACGCTAAAGCAAGCTTATTCTCTGGGTGTGCGGCCGCGTGCTCACGAACCTTTTTATGAACAGCTTCATACCCAATTGCACAATCCTTATGGTCAAAGTATAAATTCGGTGCCCAACAACAATCCTCCGCGAGCGCTACGATCGGTGCCATCGCACGGCCCTGCCGCACACTCAGTGCGTCCAACTCCTCCGGCGTTGCGGCGGACTGGGCGATGAAGGAATCGAGAAAAGCTTGAATGTCTGCACCTGTAAAAACCGTGTCGGAATCGATTAGAATAGCGATATCTTCCGGATTCATCTGCGCATTCTTGATGGCTCTTTCCATGAAATCGAACTTGGATAGAAACCCTTTGTATTTCATCTGATAGCCAGCTACCACCACGGGCAGCCCGCTTAGGTAGGCTGAGCCCACTGAATAGCAAAGCGTATCATCAATTTTATCACTCATAATCAAAATGACGACACGAGGCCCTGTGGTTCTAACAAAAATACCTTGTATGTCATCTTTGGAAAGCACCGTGGGCAAAACGGGGATCTGGTTCGAATTATCAGCGTATAATAGCCAAAAGACTAAGAGAAGTGTGCCAATAAACCCAACGACAAACGACCGCCGGATACGAGCCTTGATTTTTGAACTTCGTGACTGTGCTAATAGACCAGTTGATATGGTTTTCGCTCCTCTAGCTATCTTCATTGTGAAACACTCACCGGAATGATGTATATATCCTTCTAGCTTAAATGAAAGAAATGTGATGGTCTCTTTACCGAAATAAATTCGCGTGAGTCGAAGAAAAACAGAAGGGAATGATAATAAAGAATAGTCATAGTTCACATTTGGAAAGCAGGAAAAGGCCATCACACGCGGCGATCCCTCCCCAAAAGGTCTGAGGCAATAACCGCGCACTTTGATAATTTCGCTCCCGCGTAGGATTCGTCAGGGGAAGAGGGGAGGGGGGATGTCCACACGCGAGGCGGTAGCCCCGGGCAGTGTCTCCCTCCTTTCCGCTTATAATTCAGTCAAGGCGCGTCCGATGTCATATGCATGGAATGCTCAAGAATCAATTGCCAAACAAGGGTGTACAAGCGATAAGCAAAGGATCTTAAATTCCAAGGTTTTTTTTTATAAAAAAGGAAAGTACACAGTATCAGTACTCATGCTAAACTATTAGCATACTACTTTTTTTCCAAGCTCAGTAACAAAATTCGATTATCAATGCTATTTTTTTCTTTATAAACAAAGGGAAATAACCTAATGAAATGAAGGGTTGTGTGTAAAAAGACGAATTCCGTCGCAGATAAAAAGCGCCTAAGCCCGTTTTTTTTCCGCAATCGTTATAGCGTTCAATCGCTCTATAAGGGGTGGGTGGGTATATTTTAGTGCACTGTACAAAGGATCGGGTGTGAAATTGGACTTATTCTCCTTCGTAAGGGTTAATAATGACTCCTTTAACTTGGGTCCATAGCCCATTGAAACCGCAAATTCGTCCGCATCGAATTCATGTCGGCGAATAAGTTGAATGATGGGATAATTCAGCACGATTAACATAGGCTGTAGAAAGTCCTCCAGAAATATTGAAAATCCTAGCACGGGATCCATTTCTTTGAAACCAAACTCGGTGTACAGGGATTGGTTAAAAATAACAAACCTCGCGCCATACGAAATGAGCAATAGTTGCAATAAGTGTATGGCCGCGATGTAATAGGCATGACCTTTCTTCCAGTGGCCAAACTCATGAGAAAGGATCGACAAGAGCTGCTCGTCGTCCCCTTTTAGCTGCTCGAGCAGGGTATCGTAAATAACAACGCGCTTGTTCTTCCAAAATCCGTAAAAATAAGCATTGCTGTGAGCCGATCGTCGGCTTCCGTCGACGATGCAGATCTTTTTGAGTGGAAAGTTTACCTTATCGGCTAGAACTTTGACTTTTTTATACAGTTCCCCATTCTCGTCAAGTGGCGTAAACACATTAAATAAGGGAGATATAAAGGTCGGATATATGAACGTGGTGGCAACTGCGATTACAGTGCCAGCGCAAAAAAAGTAAAACGGGAACCGCTCACCAAATTTCGACACCACAAAATGAATCAGACCATTTTGGATGGGGCAAAGCAGCAAAGACTTCAGTAAAAACGTCTTTATGGTGTCTTTGGCAAATTCCCAGCGTGACATCTTGTTGAACCCATGCTTCTTTTCAAACATAAAGTGGTAATAATAGTAAAACGGAATGTCTATCAGAGTGCTGATCGCTTCCAGGCCCACCATAAAAAGCCACCCATGCGCAAAAGACCCTGTTCGCAAGCCGCTTTTAGACGATAAAAGGTAGTACAACTTTGCTGGAACTTTCAAGAGCAGCCTGGCGTTCGAAACAATCAGACTCTTTGCACGTATCAGAAACCCAAGGACTGAGCCTTCTTTCCCGTAACTCTGGCTGTCTTGAAACTCTTCCTTAGTGAATGCGTCTTTTAATTCCTTGGGCAACTGTTTTTTATCGTAGGATCGCAGCTGCCTCCATTCAAGGTAGCCATCCCACGCTTCGATAACATTATAAACAAGAACCGCAGATTTGTAAAAACACATCGCCCTTAGTAAATTCAAATTTAAAACTGAATAAGCCAAATCTAAAAAAGGGGTGCATAAGGGAACAAAGTGGGAATGTATGGCAACACAGTTCCAAAAGTAAGGTTGGACCCTAGTGAAGTCAATTTAAGGAGGTTGCGTCCTGAAAAGATTCAGACAACCACAAAATGAGAGAAAAGGGGTATTATTTATAGGAATCTTTCACTTTTACTGAGCGACTTTGCATTATCAAAGCTTCCACATAGCACTGGGCCCATCGCATTTGATATTGAAGCTTGTGACTCACTTTGTATTCACGCGGAATGTTTAGACTCCTCAACGGCACAATCAATAATGGCTTCGTTTAGGATATCCTCCTCGCCCCAAAAGTCATTCAGCGCGGCATCTAAGGTGGCAGTGGGATCGGTAAACTTACTTTTAGATAATTGGGGAACTCGGGGAGCTACCGTGGCCTTTTTTTTGAAACACCGGGTCATCTTTTGGGCAATATCCCGTTGAATATTATTCGCATTCAATGGAGATTCCTCGGACGGCTTCGGATGTCGACTGACGTTGGGGTCCTTGTCGGATCGAGTTTCTTGAATGCCTCCCGAGACGTTTGCGTCTAAGAGGGACTCTTCAAGGATCTCCTCCTCCTCAAAAAATGAGTCCAGCGCCCCACTAAGAACGCTACTTTCGCTACTGAGACCGAGTCCGGTCTTTTCGGCTTCCACCTCGGCGTTGTCCGGTGGAGAAGCGGGTGGGTGTTCAGGAACCTCCGCCGCTTGGGCAATAGGACACTGAACTGGGGTGGGCCCTGGCCTTTTGGACGCCCCACTATAAGACAGAGTAAAAGAGTGGACTAAAAATGCCGGAAGGCGCTGCAGCAGCACCCCAACCACCACTACCAGCACAAACACAATGCTAATTTCGCCGATGACAGGTAGGTCGGCTTTTCTCTGAAGAGTCTGTACATCATACACTTGAAAAAAGTCCATCGGTGCTGATTTTTATATTTTCGTTTTCAACACGCTACAGTACCGTCAAAAAAAAATGTGCTGAAAAAAATAGAGAAAATAGTGAAACGAACGGATGAGACAAAAAACGCTATTGGATAAAAATAGGGTTAACAGAAATTCAAGATATCGCGCTTTTTAGCACAGACAAAAACACACGCTCTGCATAGAGCTTAAGAATGGCTTCCAATGCGTCTTCAAATCAAGTTAGCCTTATACCACCCATAAAAGGGTTCTTGGGGTACCCCGCATCTTCAGGGCTGCCGTGTACCATTTTACCGAACCTACAACAAGACGCATCGTGAGAAAAAAGTTCTGCTTGGGGTAAGTGAAGGAGGGAAAAAGGACCATCAAGAAGGGAAACGACGTTTTCAAAGTCGGGTATATGGTATTCGATAGTTTAAGTTTTGGGGAAAACAAACCACCTCGGATGTGAAGACTCGTTTTTGATAACCATTCCATATGAAATAAAAAAGACACAAAATAGATTAACCGCTAATCAGTGACATCAAAAAGGAGGACATCACGAACCTTTTTGAGCTCTGCCAAGGCCTGCAAATAATTGGCTTCAAACTGTTCCTTTTCGTCATTGCTTAGTGATGATGCAGAATACAACGGTGTGCTCAAACGTTCGATGATCAAAGCCAACCGTTTCCCTTGTGTCGATCTAATATCCCTGGTTAACAGCGAAATAGAAACGTCGTCGCCACGTGGTAGCGGTGGTTGAATATACATCATAAGATGGGTCGAATCCGCCAATGAAGCCGCCTTGATGATCAACAGACGAACGTCCTCGACAGGTGGGTAGCTCATCAAATGGCGTAGGGCGGTGACGTATTCACTGCATAGTTTATCACGAATAGCATGTAGCATAGTAGCCGCTAAATAAAGCGGGAATCCGTTCCGCAAACTAAACGATTGCTTGTTTCGCCAAAAAAGATGAGCATCGGCAAAGATGGTCCCCCATACTACAGCGCTCTGAGAAAAAGAAAGCTCGCGCAAAAATAAGAGTCGGAGCCAGCGAACCATGTACGACACTGCTTGAATGTCATACTCTTCATCTAACATGCTCTGTAGCGCGGGATCGATACGTCGCAACATATCACCCTGCACATATTTAGATATTCGGACGATGTTATTTTCGGATTCCTCTTCCGCATCGTTGTAAAACCAATGACAGAGTCCGAGTCCATCGGGCGACATTATTCTCTTGAAGAGCGCGTAGGTCGAGCTAAGGAGACCACTAGGAGAGGAACAGGTCAGCAAAACGTAATCCCAAAACCCAATCTCCTTTACCGGGAATCGAGCGGTCTCCCCTCTTAACGTTTCCAGAAGCTGCCCGTCGCGGTGGCAGATATAATACAAGAATGCAACAATCTCATGTAAACCCTGGTGATACTCCCTTTGCTCCGCCAGACAGAAATTAATCAGGATATTCATAATGTCACACTTGGTCTGGGGATTGCTAAAAATAGGCAGATCAAAAAATAAGCGATCGACATCTTTTTTGATCTCTTTACGCGTTCGATAGATGAAATACTGAAGCATGTAGCGGCTGTTCGCCTCAGGCTGCAGAGGGTTTTCCCTCGTTGCACACCCCTTGCCAGAGGCCCTCATAGACAAATCCGTGCAAAAACTTCCGATCTCGGATTCGCTATCACTGCTGGGATCGAACCTCGATTTTGGGGGGGCCTTGAGGTCAACGAGGCCCTCTTTCGCCTCACTCAGTCCCGTGCGCTTCAGTGAAATCTCCTCCCACTCGGACCAAATTATTCGCCATGCCTCGGTGAGGCGGGTCGGGGCATCGTCGGGATCCACGTCCACAGGGAGAGTGCCAAGGAGAAAGTGCCAACGAATGCTAAGCAAAGTCTCGGACTCCAGACGTGAGGAGGAAAAGTCGAGTGTATCGCGCACTAAAGCCTCACTGAAGGACCTGCTTTTGAAAAGGGAGTTAATAAACTTAAGGTCGTTCATCTCAATATAACGTGAAGGGGTGAGAAGGGGAGGGAGTGGGTACGAATGCTAAGGCAGGAAGGGTATAAAAGAAAGGTAAGAGGGTTTAAAAATGTCGTCCGTGCACGAGGAATTGTGTGAACCAGATCTATTAGTAAATACAAACCAAAAAGAAAAAAAATGGTATGGTGTTCGGTCTTATCGCTTCGGCTGGTCAAAGCCTTCAAGAATTACTATTACGTTGTTCGTCATATTTTATCATCAATAGAGAACCAAATGGTAAGTAGGGGGTGGGGGTGGGGGGAGAGGGAGAGGGTGAACCCGCAATATACGAAATCTAATTTCCAACACACCGAAAGAAAAAAACAGATAACCCCGGCACTTTTGCATTTGAAAGGGAACGAACCTAAAAGTAGACGCTCTAGAAACAATCTGTACCTCTATGTTAATCCCTTTTGTCTAGATGTACTTACCCCTTATTAATATCCTCCCCATCCCAATCCTTTTGAAACATGCCTATGGATACGTTCTAAAAGGTTACTATACATACCCACACCACGCTACAGGCTATACACCACCGTCTTCATCCTCAAAGTCAATTTCTTCACGAGTGCCCTCATGCACAATGCACATGTCGTAATCATCCATGACTTCCCTCTGCGATATGTTCGGGACAACCGTATTGTTTCCCATTCGATTCATTCCCAGCTGAAGCTCATTGCACTTCAAGACGCGCAACGCATCTTGCAACTCATCCTGGCATCGAACTAGCTCCCTTTCGCGCGCCTCCAGCGTCTGGTTCCACTCCACAATGGTGCCATTTTTTTTCGAAAGGGACTTCTTCCGCTGCTCGATCTCAGTCACAAAACTACGAAGCTCTATGAGTGCCTTATCCATGTCAAATTCCTCGTGTTCGCAGCGGGCCTCTTTGGCTCGCATCGATTTTGCCTCCGCTTCGAGCGCATCACGAGTGTCAAGAGCTTCCCTCATAAGCTTGTCCTCCATAGCTATACTCTCATCCAACGCTCTTAATTCAGCCTCGGTTGTCTCCTCTTCCTTTTCAATGACATTTTGAGAAGAATCAACCGCGTCGTGGACCTTTCGTTTTTCGGACTGCAGTAAAATATTTTGGTGCCGGGCTGCGCTAATCCGCGCCCGACACTCTTGGTGCCGCACCTCCAAACAACGCCGTTCGTCGCTTATGGCGCGCTGAAGATCGTCCAGCAGGCCGACGCGCTTGCGGATGTCCACCTCCTGCCGTAGAAAGTACGCCTCTATTTCCTTCTGCGCAGTGGTGCTTGTACTAATGAAGGTGTAGTAGTGCTGGATAATATCGTCGACATTAGTTGGAGAACTTTCCCCTTTTGTCATTGATCGTTTGTTGGGTTGCACGCTTTCGCTCCTTGGGGTTATGCGGGTTGCCTGTTCGTATTCGTGTGTGTGTGTGTAGAAAGAAGAGGAAGGAGGGAGAAACTCATCTAAACCCCAAAATATCCGTCATTATTTCAAAAGCAATAGAGGTTCCGCTTTCATATAAAAAGTGGATAATGTGTTGCAGATAAAAAGACTTTGAAAAGAGAATTATGTCTCATAAATAGTCATGACGAAAACGCACCAAGGATCTTTAGACGTGCACCGAAATGAGAAAAATGAAATTAGTTTATTAAATTAATATTATTGACCTGTCGAATTTAAATTTGTTCCGCAGACATGGTTTAATTCATTATAACTTTACGCCAAATTATCAATGAAGCAGTAAAAAAATCCATTCATGGGTTTTCGCATAAGAAAAAGGCAACGCATCGAATAATACATTCACGTTTCAAGAGCTGTGAGTTTGGTTCTCAAATGGTGCATGTGATCTTTTTGACTTGGTTCTTCGCCATCGGGGGCTATGCCCCGGTGTTGATGTCGTGTAGCCCTAGTTCATCGTCCTGCTCATAGCTGCGGACGTATTTCTCGCGTATCAGCTGCGGGTCTTCATTCTCCGGTGAGGGCAAATGTGCCCTTGGGTTTTGAATGTAAATATTCGCGAGTGGATCATCAAAGATCATGGTAAACGTTCGCTTGACATTTATCAATTCATCTAACTCCTTTATAAACTCAAGCATCGTTTTAGACTCCTTCGTGGCCGAATCCCCCTTGGCGAAGGCGGCCTGCGGTAGGCTGTTGAGCTGATTACGAACCATCACAAGAGTCCCCTCCACGGTGGAGAAAAACCCGCCCAGGGTGCCCGGGGCGAGCTCCAGCTCCACCTCTGGGATGGTGAGCGTCGCCGTCTCGGACTTTAGAATATCACGCTTCAAATCCGCTTCATTCTCTACGCGCAAAATCAAACGTAACCCTTGCTCAGAAATTGGGCCGCCCGATTTTACTTCATTGTTTTTGTATCCACAATAGTCACATTTGAAGGCCATAATGATGGTCTCTTTGAAGTAAGGAATATCGCATACGTGCATCTTGATATCACCCATGCGATTGCAGGCTGGGCATTGGGAGGGCAGGCAGCTGATATCGTCGAGATGCCCCGTATCGACCTCTTCCTCCTCCTCCTTCGTTCGTTGAGTGTTGTAATCGATCGAAAGCCCTAGCAGCTGCCGGTCGATATCCGTCCGCTCACTCTCGTATATTTCCAGCTGCGGGTCCCTCGTCTGAAAATTCTTATCGTAGCGCCCCTCCACATAACTGTTCCCCGAAGGATCATCCACAATCATCGTGAAGGGAGTATCTCCTAGACGGTACACCTCAAGTTTCTGACAAAAATCCTCAATCTGATTGTACAGCTCGGGGGTTTCGTTTTTTCGGGCTGCCTGCTGAAGCTGAAGGCCAGATTGGGTATGCTCCAAAATACCTTCTACCGTGTTGAGCATCCCCTTCTGGGATTCAGGTGGAATCTCGAGCCTTAGCTCCGGGATGACGATTGACGCATATTCAGACTTTACGACTTGGCGATCCATATCTTTTTTATTCTTCACAAATAATTCGTAGCGAATTTTTTTAGGCTGAAACACTCCACCAAATGTGACCTCGTTATTAACTTCCCCACAGTGCAAGCACTCAAAGCTACTGACAATAATCTCTTTAAAATGTGGAATGTCAGTGATCATGAGACGTGTCGTGCCATTTTCAAAGCATTTGGGGCACAAGGACTCGATTATATTCAACTCCCCTGCCTCCACATTAATGACGTTAGTTCCTTCAGAGCGCTCAGGTTCATGGTTTCCTTCACTGTCCTCATTACTGAGTGCATCCTTGTCTTGTGTAAGGTGTGAACTGGGTTCCTCCTTGTCCTCCATAATTAGATAGAACTATAAGGGAAAACCGAAAATAATACCCCTCCCTTCACTTACAACAACTTTCTTCAGACTCGATACAAAATTGAAAGCAATAGGAAGTATAGAAAAGTGAAAAATATGGCATATTCAAAGGTGTAACAACTGGATATTCGACAGAAAGGACCTCCCCATAATAAATTTGTTAAACTTGATTTTAAGGTTAAAAAATAGACACTATAGAGGAATCTGAAATAATCATCCTAGACTTGCAATAGCAATAATCAAAATCCACAAAGATCTAGCCCAAAGCTATACATATCAGTTACCTATTTGTGTGCGCATGTGTTCTCTCTTCTGTCAAAAATTCACGTATAATGAATGAAATCTGTTACCACCATAGTCTTGATTAAGCCCATTGACTTTTTGGTAATAGGTACAGCACGTTTTGTGCAAAAGAAAGTTCGGATGTAGTAAAGCTGTATTGAACGATCTAGCGCTGAAGATCAAAGAAATCTGTCCGTTACTCCCTACATATACACATTTACTCGCAAAGGTCGAAGGTAATTAATGGATAGCCGTCCTTTCTTACCAAAGAGTTTTTAAAACTAAAAACAGCAACTGGCATAGGGACGAACCGAGGCCTTTTTAGCGGCTCACCCGTTGAGTTTATGGCGAGGCGACCATGTCTTCCCACCCCACCCCCTTTTACTTGAGATATCGGAACCCAAGCCTACCAAGTATCCCATATTTTATGTCTTGACAGGTATACAAGCACAGATAAAGGTTCTTTGCGCACTCCATCTATTTCCTTACCAAATAACTGGGGTAGGAGCCAATCAAGTAGCCGCCCTTATGTACCTAGTGAGCCGATGAGTCTCTGGCTTGTCACTGGGAAATTCAAAATATAAAAAATTCTAAAAACTTCATACATTATACAGAATGACGCCATTGGTATAAACCCCAAGTAGAAAATAGTCCAAGATGCACCGACACACGCTTGCCTATGATTCAAGCAAATCATAATGTCCAGGTCGGAATAATAAGTACATCATGCGGGGAGAGTGAGCATTCTTGCCCTGTTTTGAACCAATATGAATCGTCGTCAGCTTTCTAGCCTTGGGGTCCATCACCTCGACATGAATGGACACGTCGAAAAGCCGCCCAAAGGCCTCAATCTCCACGTTGTCGCTCTCCTTGGAGAAGGGCTCCACCTCCGTCTCACAGTACTGCTCCACAGTCGTGAAGCCAAGACCCATCACAAAGGGGACGAACTCGTCGGCGTGGTCTCGCAAATAAATTGACAGGGCATAGCGAAGGTAGACGATGAAATAGTTTGCTTTTTCTTCATTGATAACGGCCTCATAGACCATGTCTATCGTGTATAGTTCCCCATTGCAAATATGCTGGGCAATGCTTTCCGCTATAAAACAAAAATCCCCACTGTACTCTCCAAATTGCTGATGCATGCGTGGTCGTATCGTATTCTGCATAATCATCAGTGTGTGCTGGGCAAATTCCAAGTCCTGAAGCATCAACTCGCACAATCGAAAGGAAACGCAGCGATAAAAGCAATTGCCATCCCGTCGGGCGTACCGAATGGCCCTGTAGCCCGGAGCACCGGACTCGGGAGAGACCAAAAACAAGGAAAGCACCTGATTATAAAACTCGCCGTTATTTTCATACTCACGTGCCAGTGCACATGTGAGCGTGAGTGGGTCCGGTTGGCTGAGAAGAGGCGCGGAGTTGACTTCATTGTGGATCTCCCGCAGCTGATTATCTATATCGTCATCCGTCGCACCATTAATCGGAAATTCCATCGGTAGTTTAAATAGTTTGATGAGTAAATCCAGGCAAGTAATCTAAGTTTTTCTGCCTCAAATAGATAACAGATTAAATTTAGAGTATACGATAAATATATAGATACCGATATATATCCGTATGTATGTATAAGTACAATGATATACGTCTTTAGCAAATAGATGCATCTCCATGAGCCAATGAGAGTGAGGAAGAAAAACAATGTCAACAAGATCAATCAGTCAATGTCAACAGGCACATGTAATGTAAGAAAATATTTTATGAACATCTTGGAGTGTCAAGCATAACTAGCGATGCAAATATTCAAAACAATCACATCCTTGTTTTGGTTTTGTCCATTTAGCGTAGCCAAACCAAAAGGAATTCATCCAATCAAAGTGGACACAGACAATTAAAAAAATGTACGTGGTGAAGACAGTAATTCAAGGAGTATACCAAAGGGAACTTTTCTTCTGTTGTAAAGACACACATATATATATATATGTGTGTGTGTGTGTGTTTGTGGAAGGGAAAATGTTTTCCATTTAAGTCGATTCCACAGTGTAGACCGCATCCCGATAATTATACTTATCCATGACTTCAATGGCCTTGAGGGTGATCGCCTTATTGGGTCCACAACACATGGCCCTACCCATCAAGTTCAACGTGTTTGTGTTATCGACATCATGGACTACACCGCCCGCCTCGCGTATGATGATCGCTCCCGCCGCGTAATCCCACGCGTTAAATCCGACCTCAAAATACAAATCCGCCTTTCCGGACGCGACAAAACACATATTCAAGGCCGCTGAGCCGTAGCATCGGACGGACTGCACGGGGAGCCTCAGAAACTCGCGCTGGATGTTGAGCACCGCCTCAACGCAGGTTTGGCTGCGGTTGTAGGGCTGGTGAATAATCACGACCGAGTCGTCCAGCGTTGTGGTATTAGAAACGTGAATGCGCTGACCATTGCAATACGCGCCGCGCCCCTTCGCGGCGGTGTAGATTTCCTGCAAACGCGGTGCGCTGATGACCCCCAGGATTGGCTCCTTGTTGACCACGAGGGCGATGGAGACGCAGCAGTCGTAGAGTCCGTGGGCGAAGCTGATGGTACCGTCGATGGGGTCCACAACCCAGGTCGGGCCGTCACCCAGCGGGAGGTCGGCCTGGGTCTCCTCGCTGATGACGGCGTAGTCCGGGGTCCCCGCCAGCAGGGCGTTCAGCACCTCTTCCTCGCACTGCATGTCGTACTGGGTCACCCAGTCCGTGGAGTTGCTCTTCGTGTTCACGTTGAGGATAGGCGAAAGACGCTCGTTGATGGATTTGTTGATGATGTCGGTCGCGGCACGAGCGGCATACAACGCCACCTCAATCGCCGCACTGAGCTCTGCTTCCGTAATAGACATTGGGGTCGAAAGGTGGACCTGGACAAAGGAAGGGTATGAGTGATTAAAATAAAACCTATGGGACCTTATTCAGAAAACAGTACAACGAGACTAAAATTCGATAAGTCAAGCCTGTAAACCTACTGCCAAAAGGCGAAGACAGGCAAACACATAGGGTATGGATTCCAAGCTATGCTGAGCCATGCCCAAATGGATGATAAAGATGTTCTTTTTCCTGTTTACCACGAACATTTTTCGCAGACTAAGCTGGAAATGATACTAACTGTATTACCTATGCTTCACAAACAATCGGCAATGCAACCTCTAAAACGATTGTACTTAGATGATGATTTTTCACTACTCTATGGAAAATCCTTTTTTTTTCCTCATACGGAACAAAGGGAATGGGAAATTAGGCATGCCAGTAATAGCTTTGTTACATAGTTACCTTTATTATTCACACATTTACATATATATATATATATGTAGATATATGTATTGGTGTGTGTTATTTTACATTTTATCTTCACCTTGCGTTATCTCTTGGTTGGTGCTACCAGTTGTTTTTACCCCTTCGCACTTTAGAGTGCGCTTTTTTGAGCAGGATTTCTTTAAGAACCTTACGATAATTTGAATAGCAAAAAGTCGTAGTTCCTCCATAGACTTTCTTGTTAGCTTCCGCCGAAGGTGCACCAGCAACGCGCGGGCACAATGAAAGCGATAGGCTCGCTGAATTACCCACACCGCTTGGCAATGTCGACGAAGATCACAACGGGTGTGGTAGCCGCGCCAAAGCGTCTGGATGAGGACGGCGGCCTGGGTCTGACGCCGGCGCATGATTTCCGCCAGCCACTCCGGATGCCGCATGCCGTAGACCAGCTGTCTTGCGCTGTGGCCACGGTAAACCCGCTGAATACTTGTTGCGGCAAAATTGACGACCTCCGCCTCCGAAGCCGCACGCGCCGCATTGCGGGCACGATTCATTTTGATGATGGCTCTCATCTTATTTTCAAAAAATAAAAGTGCATTGAGGCTTCGAGTGGACTGAACTTGTCCTGAGCTCTGCTGGAAAATCTTCAAAGAAACCTCCCACTGCCTTTTGGTTGCTTCCTCCGCATTCAGAGCCACCTTTAAGGCTAGAAAACGTGCTACCCGCCGACGCTGGGCATTTACTCTCGCAGTGTAACCACGAAACATTCTCTGAATACACAATGCGGCCGCCTCGTGAATATGGTTTCGGTGAATCCAACCTCGACTTCTTATCCAATCCCTTACCGAATGGTCGACAGCATAATTCTTCACAATGTATAATGAAGACGCGGCAACTTCCGACGATATAGCGTCGGCTACCGAAGGGAGTTTATTCGCAAACGGCAGCGACTCAGGCTCGATAAATTGCTTCCAGATACAACGCTGCCGTTCAGCTTCAGCTTCATCGGCGTCGAACAGCCCCATGAATGCAACCCCCTCTGAAGTGGCATCAAGAGAAAAAGACATGGGCAGGTACCCCTCGTCATCCGGTGTACTCACCATCTCCTCCTCTTCTTTTATCGCTTGATGAAGTTTACCCACCTCCTGGCGTAGCTGAAAGCGTCGGAGACCAATCTGGTCCTTTCGCCACTCCAACAGCCTCTGGTGTTCCTGCGCCGGGGTCGCGTCGGGATGGTCCCGCTTCCACGCACTCATAAAAATCTCCTCCGCGAACACATCCATGTTCGAAATGCGATGTTGGGGGTGAAGAGGGAGGGAAGCACCGTTGGTTAAACCCTCCGTATCGACTGTGGAGGCCCCAAGACGATGAAAATGTAGAGGTGTGGTGTTGTCAACCTCGGAGTATGGATCCCCTGGGTCCGTGAAAGGATTCCCCAAGACCGATCGCCTTGTCATGGAAGCCATCAGCGTGCTAGTAAAGCGGGGTTCAAAATTGTGGCGTACGGCCGATGACGAGGCGGCGTCGAGGGCGTTATCGATGCTCTTCAGCACCGATATGGGCTCATGGACAGAACTCAATCGAAATTTCCTCATCGACCCTTCGTCCGACGCTGTATTAATCGCAGCAGGATACACCGCTGTGGTCCTGTCACTACCCCCGTCCGATGAGCCACGACAGCCGAGGAGGGACCGCAGCGTGTGGTAGGTCTGCAAGTTTCTAAAGAGCGTTTGGGAAATTTCCTGAGATCGCATCGCAGCTTTGGATAGGCAATGCTTCATGTCCTGTGAATGGAGGCCCATGTCCTTTGAGTTGGAAAGAGTATGACCTTCGGCTATACCTGGAGGGGGCATTTTGTAAAGGAAGCGATGGGAACTGCTGGAGAAGCTAGGCCTTCTACTGTTCGAAGACCTATGAGTTGGAGAGTAGCTTGTCCTTTGACATGATCTGGGAGTTCTAGGGGCAATGGAGTGACGCAAAGATGAGCTGCACCTCCTTGAATTCGCCGCAATGGAGACCGGCTGAACCAATGAGTCTGTTGGCCGTGTAATAGGTTGCGAACTCATTTTAAAATAAAAGACATATGGTTTCTAAATAAGCTGCTGGCACATCAACAACCCAACGTGTAAACCAATAGAAGAAAAGGGAAAAAAAAAGTCTTGACAGCAATTAGAAAACTCAGGAAGGAATGTCATTTGATCGAATTTTTCTAGAGATACGTGATAGCAGTCATGAAAAGAGATAGCTTCATTCATCAGCTCGTACGTCACCAGCGAGCCTTCCTTGCTGCCGAAGCCACATTATATACTCTTCCCGAGGTTTCCATGGCAAGGTATCAACCTCGACCTCGCCGCGCCGGCGCGCCAGTACGTTCTGCAGCGCCGACGAATCACCGATAAGGGTGCTAGCTCTCACCTCCATTTTTAAATCCTCTATACACTGCCCCAAAGTAGGCTGACAGAACCCGATAATACGTGTGTTCAAGCTTCGCTTGGTACAAAACATGCAATTATATACTGCTTTCAAAACACTTGGAGGCGACGTGTCCAAACGGTGATTTTCAGATTCAAAAAAAGGTGAGCAGCCTAGATATTTAGGATTCACCACGCTCGTGGATAGCTCAAAGAACACTCGAACAGACATGAGCGTAACCTCTACAACGGAAAGAAGTTTATATACTTTGAGATAAAGTCTATCAATGGAATAAAAGCATGTTGAAAAAGGAGAGATATAAAAGAAAGAAATAGCAAAAGCATCGATAAGAAAAGACTATAGAGCAGGGAAATAGTCCCCTGTATGCGACACAGCTCGCTCACCTTTTGATTCGAAGAGGCTGTTGCAGAAAAGTAAGTGATTAGCTTAGAGGGGCCCCTTATAGGTCACACCTTAGAAATTTATTTTTATTCGGCAATATGACAGGGGAAAGCTGCCTTTAAAATCTATTACACGAGAAATGAGGTAAAAAAAAAGAAACAAAATTGAATGACAAAGGATATACAACCATCTTATGCCTTCCACCCTCGTTTGATACGGAATTTGATATCCTTTTTCTTCATGCTCTTCGCGCGTTGCGCGCGATCTGTAATAGAGCTCTTGAGTTTCGTCGCCACGCGCCGTGAGCGCTTTGTCATCTGGAACAACTTACCCCTCTTGGAGTGCTCACCATGCGTCGAATTGAGCTTGCTCTTTGTCTTCTTCTGAATCTCAAACTTTGAACTTGCTTTGCGCAGCTCCTGAGCGCGCTCGATTTTTTCCTGTTTGTCAGTTTCTCGCTTCTTCTCTGTAAAATGCTCAATGTCTACGGCCGAAAGATCAGCCGAGATTCCATGAATAAAATCATGTCGCCGCTTGTTACGTGCATCTCGGTCCTTAAGTTTGCCATGCAAAGATTGATGACTACCATTCTGTGTTTGAAGCCTGCGAATCTTTTTAAAGTCTTCGTCGGTTAGAATGCGATTAGATGAAATGGAAGCAGTGGTCCCAGCAGAGGACATGTTGCGCGAGGATTCAGACCGGTTGCGGATTCTGGTGTCCTTATTAATATCTTCGTACCAGTCTTCGGTAGATGCTGCGACCAATGCAGCGGATAGTGTGGGGCGCTCCACTTCTTCGTTGTCTTCGTCCTCGCAGCAGGAATCCTCCTCCTTGTAGTCTTCACTTCCACTTTCTTCTGTTGACTCGACCTCCTCCTCATCACAATCGCTATCGCTGTTGTCGATGGCCAGGCTAGACGTCTCGCTGTCGTTTTCTCCTTGGGAATCCAGTCGTGGTTTCTTCCGCAAAGAATCCTCATCATTGCACGGCGAGGCATGGCGCGCCTTTGGCCCCTCATCGCGGCCGAGACCAACGGAAACTAACTGAGGACATTCGTCCCCCTCATCACACGAGCTATCGGCGACATCGACGAAATCGCCCTCAACATCCTCCGGGTCCAGCTCGCTATCGGTGTCCGTTTCCCACGCACCACTATCGCTCCCGGTGTCACTGTCCTCCTCAGTTGAGCTGTGGCTGCCGCTTCCACTGCTTGCCCCACCGTCATCACTCTCACAGCCAGAAGTCGTGGCCGTTTGATAGAGAAGCTCCAGTCCTGGGATGTCGCGGTAGACGTGTTCTCGACCGTAGATGGGCCGTTCCTTATCCTCCGGCGCCCCCGCCTTGCTGCCTCGCAGTTTAGCCGGCAACAGACGGGGGTACAGGTCGCGGTATAGCTGAATGAGCGCCCGTGAGGCCATCATGACGCCCTTGTCCCCCCGTTGGTTCTTGTACTCAGCCAAGTCCTTTAGTAAGTCCTCGCTCATCGCAAGGGGCTGCCGCTTGCAGATCTCCCGGATGGTGTTGAGGCCGACGGTGATGGCATCCGCCGAGGAGCGATCCGTCACGAAATGGTCAGCAATCGCCTTCACCAATGGCTCCACAGCGTCAGGTGGGATCATCGTGTGAACGCACATCGTGGACAGGGCAAGGAGCTGCGTGGAGTGGAGCTGTGAAGGCTCCATGTAGCGCACTAGAAATCCATACAGCGGCAGATGGATGACCTCGTGCTCGGAGATCGTGCGCGCAATGACGTTCAGGTACAAGATGCGCACCTCAAAGCGCTCCGAAGTTTTTTGAAGTTTAGATTGAAGTCGCTCCACAAACTGTTGAGGGTCGCGCAGCAGCCGAATAGGGTCGACATGCTGCTTTGCATGCAACTCCTCCTCACGCTCCTCCTTGTCGTACTTTCGTTTGATGCCCTTCATCGTGCGCTTCAAAACACGATCCCGTTTTGCAGTCTTTTTGACAATCTTTAGCTTCTGTTTTAGCTTTGAGATGGAACGGCCGGGGTCCTGCGTCTCCTCGTCAGAGTCGTTGTCGTAATCGGCCGAGAGTCCCTTAGGCATCTGCATCAAGAAGAAGCGCAGTGCGGTGCGCAGAATCGTGGTATGCCGCGAAAAACATGCCTTCGTCATTACCTCCACCGTTCGCTCATCGCACCAAATTCGTCGGCGGTACAGGTCGATCATGACAAGCTCTGCGCATCGTGCCTGCACTGGATCGTCATCCTCCACAACAGAAAAGAGATAATTCTGGGCTCTTTTATGTGTCATCGCACCGCCCTTGGTTCCAGGCAAACTCGCTTTCCGAATATCGCTTACAATGTGGGAAAGGATTAATTTTCGTGTGGTCTTATTACGCTCCTGGAGTAACGTAAAAAATATGGGAAATGTTTCGTCCGTGCTTACTAGGCTCTTGGAACGTAGCAAGATCAAAGCCTTGACCAAGGCTTCGCGTAGCTCGAGTGGGATGCCGCCATCGCAAGACTGACGAAGCAAGTCTAGCACAGTCCTGGCTACCGATTCAGACTCCTTGGGGAAGCAGTGACTCACATGAGTTAAATAATTAAGCACAGCAATGTACTGCGGGTTCGCCACACGCTGCGAGGCTACCGTTGTACTGGATGCCAGGAAGTGTTCTAGCTGGGCAAGGAATTCTTCTCGATACGACTCCGGGTCGCACCGAGTGCGGTTTTGGAGCAACAAAAGTGTTCCCTTCAACGCCGGTTCCGTCATCGATGGTTGGATAAGCGGAAGGAAAGGGTAAAATGCCTAACTATACTCGTAATCGCAACGTATGATAGGAAAAGGTATTAGTGAAAGTACTTTTCTTCTAATAAGGCACGAAAAAAAAGGACAAAGGAGAAGGTCAGGAAACCCAGAACAACTGGGACTTCAGAAAAAAATCATGCATGGTACACATTGAAGTGACATAATAGTTTTTTCAATATTGAGATTTCCCACACTTTCCTTCTAGAAATAATATGGATGAACAGTAAATTTTGATTTATAGAGCTCCTCAATCTGCGCTGTTATGTAAGGAAACTAACACACAACACCAGAAGGTTCTCATTCGGTGGACAGCATATGCCATTTAGTTTATTCTCCCTCATTCTTTAACAATATATATATATATATATCTACATAGGTATATGTTTTACTTCAATTGCATAAAAACAGATGGATAAATGCCTTGCTAAGTGCAGACCAGGTTATTAATAATAATAAGTGGACACAAACAATTCTTATCCGCTATGGTTACTGAGTCGGCCAATGCAGAAGTGCTTGAAAGAAGCCACTACCGATGGCGGATGGAAGTCAGAAAAGATAGCTTCCATGTCCTGACCCCCAGAACCTTCTAGGAGCATCATTGCACCACCCGGGTGCATCTTTCCAAATCCGCTAATATCCAATACGTTCGAATCTATGACAATCAACAAATCCTTCTGAGTGATGTGTTGAGCAATTTCCTCACGTGTAAAGTAGCGTTCCTGGGGGCACACAAAACTCCCTGCGTTTCTAAAATACGCACCAACCGTGTCGGACGCTGAAGATGAGGTTGGGTTGCCTTTGGCCCCCGTTTGGATCCTCGGGGTGGTTATGGCGTTTGGCACTCACCTCAGACCTGTGGCAAATAGAGCAACCACCACGGCAAAAATTAGTAAGCTCTTTCGAGCCATACGCACGACGCTTACATCTCTTTTCGAGGCTCTTGGTTCTTCCTTCATATGTGTGTTTGTGTAACAAATGTCAATTAAATAACACACACTAGCGAAAGAACTACTGAATGCAGAGAAAAAATCAAAAGAACAAAACAAACGATTTCGACTGCTAAAACCCCTTTGGAACGGGAAAAAATAAGGTAACGTACTGCAGTATTGTGAAGGATTGATCTAGTTTTTCATTCCATCTTTTTTATTTTTCGCTATTTGTGGCATGAAAAAAATAGTATTTGATGATAAGATCGCGGGCAGCCTCAGGTACCATGTTTGCTATCCCTTCTTGCGCTTCCTTCTCTGCGGCTAGATCATGACGGTTAGCTGCCTCTGCGGCGGCACCCAGGGCTTTGCGAATAGCCGTTGAAGAAGTCGAGGAGATGGAAGTGGGTTGTTTATAGATGAATCGATACTTGGAAAAATCCACTTCATAGGTCTCCTCGTTAATCACCTGAGTTAGAACGCAATTCTCAGGTAACATTTGATGAATTCCGCCTGCGACAGCTTCCTCACCATTTACTGACTCGTCTTCTGAAACCATGATGTTGGGCGAAAAGGCATCACTCCTATTTTTAACGCAATCGAAGTTGTTCCCAGGGCGCGTAATGACCACCACATAGAACCTATCCAAGAGCTTTTGGAGAAGATCTAGCCTCCAACAGCCAGGCTTGAAAAAGGAACGAAACAAATCTGTACCACAGGCAAGGACAACACGCACGCTTACATCTCTTTCACTTAAGCTGTGCTGTCCCTCTTCCCTCAGCGAATCGTACCACGTCTGAACCGATTCTTGCAAGTGTTCAAGAACGTAGTAAGTGCGTGCGTAAGTGGGCTGCAGGCCCTCCCAACAATCTACCTCGATCGCAGGGTGATCCCTAACCGCTGCTTCAGCAATGTCCACACGCTGTGAGAATGGCATCAGGCCAGGCTTACCATACAAATCGCCCACTGGCGAGAGATAACCTCCGAGCACTAGGTACGGCCTCCCCGTGATAGCGTCACGGGAAGAAGGAGAGCTCAGGGCTGCCTCAGCCGTATTGTAAAGTGATAGGTGTGCATTATGAATAGGATTAAAGGCACCACATACGACAATAACCACAGGAACACACAACGAGTCTTCTACTGCTGTGATTACTGCTCTAAGCGGCTTGAGTTTGGAGGTACGAAGTGCATATGGTTGCATGCCGACAAAGAAGAGTACCTTTAATAGGCCTCACAATGGGTAAAGGAAAAAAAATGGCGTGCAACAGGACCCTCTAGCTTGTGCAGTGCAAGTTTCTTCACAGTTTGGATAAAGAATGACTAAGGGGAAAGTAAAAAGTTACGTTCAAGTCGTCAAAAAGTAACGATGAGTTTTCCATCCTCCTCCTTCAAGGTTCCACGATAGAGTTTTTGGCAATATAGACACTCTTTCACTTCTTTTTGACATAATTGCCATTGCTGCCAATTTAGATTAGCATACTAACGACGTCACGTTGGAATCATGGGCCCTTGATTAGCCTACCTATTTCCTCGTCCCCATCCCCTCCTGATTTTACCTAAAGGTTATACCTTCCTCATTTTGGACTTAAGAACATATATACATATATATGCATGTATGTATAGCGAAAGAAGAGGAAGCTAAAAATGCAAACTGTCTAACAACTCCTGTGGTAGTTCCCTTGTTTGGGATAATTTACTTGAATCAAGGTATGACTGATATTCATCCTCTCGCCCACGTGGTATGCGAGGAATCCCGAGATGGTAGGTCTCGACATTTTTTATATACCAAATCTCCTTTGCCAGAATAAAGTCATCTAGATCCTGCCTTTCCTTCAAGGCGGACATATAGGATCGGGTTATCTCAACCCCCACACCGGTGACGGCGGAGGCCACGAGAAGGGGCATCCGGTAAACCGTGTGGAAGGGCAGAAAAAGGCAGCCCGCGGCGGCGAGGATGCCAGCTGGGACCGCGGTGTTGAAGGTCATCACCCGGACTATCCACCGTGCCGTCAGCTCCTTCTCCTCTGGCGAAATCTCGTCGTAGTCATACAGAGCAAAATCCGTTATAGGGTGGTAGTGCTGGCGAGCGCGAACCCGTGAAGGGTGAACCGGCACCAGCCCAAGGCGTTCCCAAAAGGTGTAGGGTTGGTCCTCAGGGCCGGGGATGGTATGCTGCTGAGCGGCGTCGGCCTCGACAAGTTGGTGCGGGACCGTCTCCATCCGGACGTTGCGCAACTCCCCAAGCCAGTGCACCGAGCGATGCTGCTCCAGTTCCATGTCAATTTCGATCTGGTCGCTGTAAATGACGCCCGGGACCCCCACCGGGTCCCCTCTCAATCGCCTTAAAAGGTTGGCCAGCATCACTTTTCTGTGTCTTAAATTCAGGGGAGGATGGATGCCCCTTTCTCATTCAATGCAAGCAAAAAGAACAAACAGAGGGGGAGGGAGGGTAAAAAAAAAGCTTTCATCACAGTTAATAGAAATGTAAGGAATAATCGATCAAACAACAGTGTCATAGCTATCCAGGGGCAACGCGTCAATGCTACAGATAAAAAACACCATCAGTGTGAACAAGATTGACATCATTTACAAGAGAAAATTAAAGGTAGTATAAGAGAAATAAGGGTATAATATATCAACAGTTAACCCGGAAATAATAGGTTAAAGCATATAAGTGGGGACCTCATATTTATCCAGAATAAAAAATTCATCAACTACTCAAGCAAATTTATAATAAACCTCGAATAACGTTTGTTATTGTTCACATTGTATTTAAAGGAATGAATAATAATGTATTTCCTTTATTATGAAATGCAATATATAACTCATGTAAGGTAAAGTGATATAACTTTATATGATATAAAATAATTAGTAGAATTGGCCACACACAAACACACACACATAGATATTTTCCATCTCATGAAAAAGTCATGTGCAATAGGTTAGATAATGAAAAAAGACGTCTTCTTCCGTCATGCTCACACCACTCAATATAGTACAAAGCGCCTATAGAAATAAAACAAAGACAACACAATCGTGATTACAAAAGAAGAGGTAGTCAAATAAGTAAACCTTAATGAATTACCCAATACACACACAAAAAAGAAGAAAACCAAACGATAAAGCATTTCAAATATTTCATCTAAGATCCATGAAAAGGGACTCTGAGTTGGAAAAAAAAAGTAGTCGATACGCACCGCTGAGCTTATTCATGATATCTCATACTGAGTACAGGTAATGGGAGATATAAATATGAAAAAGCAAAAAGTGCTCTTTCATCCATCTGTAAACCATAGAGTTGAACCTCATGTTGGTAAAGGGGAAATGAGTGTTTGATAGGAATATTTCTATTATTATTACAAATTATTATGTACTTTAAAAATGAAGAACAACACATAACTTCTGATCAGAGTTATCCGGCTGTGTGCCGTTGTTGTTGTTTTTAAAGTAAGAGTATTAATACATTAATAAATAAAGCGAAGCTTTCAAATTTGAATGGATAATTAAAAATTGTATATTTCAGTGCTAAACACAGATACGTACAGTTGATATACTTTCCCACTCCCTGACACAGTTAGAAATATTCCACTTTTGCAACGCACAAGTCTTTATCATACGAGCTAAAATTGTTTTTATCTATCTTATCATTCATCTCTGAAGCGACGGATAAAGGGCACAAAAAAATAAAACGTATTGAAATTACCCAGACTACTGAGAAAATATCACTGTTTTTTTTAAGTGTGGTACAGACATGTAGTTATTCCCCCTTTCACTTGAGTTTTTAAAAAAGTTCTGCTCGTTATTACGACTAGAAATATGGATTTTTATACTTAATACTGCTATGTATAATACTATTGCATCGATTAAAGTAGGAAAAATAAATGACTGAATTTCTAATATTGTAGACAATCAGATATAAATTGTATTTTTTTCTCCTAACTCCTGTAATTAAGGATTAAGGTGCCGCTTTACTCATTGCCTCCTTTACAAAAATGGTCGAAAGCGCATCTTGACACATAGGAGCGTAGAGACGACATCAAGGTAAATGTATTGAAAAAATGCATTGCTTTCATTATTAGAGTGGATAAGCTCATAAAATTCAATATACTATAAGATACCAAAATTGAAAAGTTTAAACTACAAAAAAAAACCGTGAGATTGTGGTCAGAAATCATACAATAGGCATTGGAAAGCGCTCATTAAATAGAAACTTCTATTACTCCTTCCGGTTAAACGTAAAATTGCAATTACTGCTGCTTAGCTGCTCAATGCTACGGTGAATTTTCTGTAAAACTTTTTTATTCTTAATTTACTGTATAATAGATGTTGTATTTGGTTTCGTTTCTCTACTGCTTTTTTTTTTACTAATATTTTAACTATCTCACAAAAGTTAAACTAAGACACCCTCTTCAGACGATTAATAAGAAAATCAACCACCTCATTCGCAAGGCCCTTTCTTTATTTGCATAAATAAGTATTACGCGCTAAAATTATAGATTTCGTAGCATGGATGTATACATGCGCGTTTGCGCGTATTTTTACACGTTAAAGCAAAATTATGTCTGACTTATTTACCTTAGAATCAATTTGAAAAGAGAAACACAACTCCTATCATTTAAGTATATATTTATTTAGCGACGAATACTGGAGAACCTGGAATATCAACCACGGCATTCCCTTATTAGTTAATACTTTTTTTTTTTTAACCTGTCTGTCGGTACCTTTATTTTTCCTTTGCATTGTTTTTGCACACACAAAAAAACGTATATAAAGAATTCGCAATTTAGAGATCATCGAAAGGAATACAGCACTCCTTTGGGTCCGATGGCTTAGCAGTATCCACTAGCTCAAGCACAGCATTTTCATCAACGTCGTAGGACTTAACGGTCGCAATTTCATCATCAAGAATTTTCCCAGTTTTCACCAAGATTAGTTTCTGTGAGGAAGGAGAAATGTGATAGACCTGGTGAAGGTACCTCTTGAAGGTATGGATCTTCACGCTAGCCCAGTCCCCAAAGATCGCATGACTTTTATCGCCATGGGATACATAAATCCGGTACGCATTAGGCGCCTCCAGACTGATCTGACTAAAGTTCACACTCGCCAAAGTGTGTACGGACATCCTACTGGCATCGAACCCCACGGGCTGGGCGGCCTGCCCCTCAACATGGCGAAACAGCCTCGTGTGGCGCACGACGTGGCCGTGGTAACAGGGGAATAGACGGCAGGTGTGGAGGTACTTGTGCTGGTGCTTCCGGTTGTTGACCCGAGGGCACATCTCGTCCTTCGGGCACAACGTCAGGTCCTCCCGGATGCTCCCGCTTTGCACTGTACTTCCCGACTGGCTCGAGTACGCGTCGGACTCATCCGGCGGCTTCAATTTGCGGCTGTCCGCTACGGGTGAGGCGACCGGGGGCTGCTCCGAGCTCCCCCTGCCCACCGCGAGGGTGCCGAAAACGGGGGTCTTCACCAGGTTGTTCCCCTGGACGCTCGGACAGCGATTGCCATAACTATTTTTCGGGGACGCCGGGGCAACCCGGCTCTGAGAAACGCTGCCGATGTTCGGGGCACCGGAGAACTCAGATTCGGAGCGGAAACTATTGCCCAGCGCCCAGCCCTGATGCGAGGAGAGCGTGGGTGAGCCCACACCCTGGGTGGGGGAGGATCTAAAATTGGGGGCGCTGAAGCCCGACGGGGCGTAGGAAGGGGCCTGTAATGGCGGTGGTGGCGGTAAGTAGTTGAATACTGTAGACTGTGGGAGCGGTGGGCCATAAGGGGAACTCGAGGCGATCGGCACATCGACGCCTCGGCTTAATTCGTCGTGGTCGTAAGCTTGGACCGAACCAACCATCGGGCCACACGACCTCACGTGGCGCCATGAGTGGGACGAACTGAGGGCGGGGTTCCCATTACCGAATGAGCCGACGAACACCCCCCCGTCGTCTTGCCCCCATGAGGACTGTAAACCGACCACGTTACCGCTTAAGGGAGGAGTCATGAAGGATGACAGCATGCCGCCATTGGCATTCTCACTACAATTGCTCCCCGGGATGAGAGGACTCTGAGGGTTTCGGAAATGGCGCGCTTTTACCCTCAGCGGACCCGTGACTTGGATGGGCACGGAGCCCTTTCGGCTTATCGGCGACAGCCTCAGCTCCGTATCGCTCGGGCTGTGGAGGGTCATGTTGGGGTTGGCCGAGGAGCAGCCCCCCATGTTCGCTTGCATACTTCGATGCAGTGAATTGGGCTGACTAATGCTCATCGCCCGCGAACAGCATTCGATTTGGTCGATAGGGTAAGGGGGGGTAGCATCTCCATTACAGATAAAGCGCGCATAGGGTGAATGTGAGTAAGATTGTGAGCGCCCAGAGTCGCTTGGTCCTGCCATACTTTGAACTGGACGCATTTTTCGAAAGAAAAGGAGTAAAAAAAAGGGGGGGGGGAAGGGAAAAGGGAAAAGAAAGGGGAAGGGAAAGAAAGGGAGAGGGGAAGAAGGGGGGAGGTGGAATTAAGAAACTAAAGCTGTATATGAGTTAAAGAAGACTACGTGGGCAATAATGAGTATCGATTGCAACCAATGTAGATCTAGAACTTGAAGGAGTGTACAATAGTAAAAAATCAAGGATTAACTAGGCCTTCCCCACCTAAAGTCTGGATAATCCAAAAATATGTGTGTGAAAAGAGAAAAAAACTCGATTTGCTAAAATAAATCGACCTGATTAATAGTACCTGTGACCACTCTACCCAACCTTAATGTGTACGTCAGCCTATTAATGCTTGATGTGGGAATAACTTCCACTAAGCACGTAAGATAAAGGACTTTCGCGGCTATGTTTACTGCGATCCAGACAAAATGTTAGGTTATTCGGTGTGTGTATACGGTAACTCTGTATTTTGGGCAAAAAAAATTGTGAAGAGAAAAAAATACAATATACCGGTATAGCTTTAGAAAAAAAAAATATAATAATAAACCTTGTATTTCTCTAGTCGGCGTAATATAGCTCGTAGTTAAAGAAGAATAGCAGCTAACCTGGTTAAGCAATATAAAACAACTCTTCGATAATTACAATTACTTGCCAATAATAATAATAAAACGGACTTAACCACACCCAAAATAAAAAAGGCAGCACTATTATGCCTTTTAAAAGATGTAAGAAAGGAAAATTATATATAGAAAAATGGTCTGATTTAAGAGTTTGTAATATTAAAAATTAGATATGCTTGCTAGCACTATGCTTCTCTATCCAGAGAAAACCTATGAGTAAAAAGATATAACTTAGTCTATCTTATTAAATAACTTCAGGCAGACCTTAATAGACAATAGTAATTAGAAGACAAAAAGTGGTCAAATTGAATTCTATTTTGCATTAGATCAATATAAATCCACAAATGGCACAGCAAATAATGAAGAACAAACGTAAACTCTCCCACTAAATCAAACTCAAAGTGGGTAAACGCAAATGCAGCGAATTGAGTTAATTATTTATTTCTGTTGTAGATATTTAATCAGCTTGATACCTCAGGAGAAATAGGTATCTACCTGTCCTTTAAATTCTTCGCGCTAGGATACCGTACATACGAGGAGAAATCGATCCGTCAAATAATGGCACTAACGATACACACGATGATGTAGAATGACCATTTCCGGCAGAGAGAGCCTCATGAAGGTACAAAACACGATCCAAGAGCAAAAGGCTCTCTGTGAGGTGAGACATCCACATGCGAAGCACTGTGAATCCTATAAAAGCTCCAAAATGCTGTTGATAATAAACCTGTCCGGTTTCTATGGCGGACTCCATGGATGCCCGGAGAAAGTGCTCTTGTTCTTGACGACAGCGCATGCACACGGTGGTTTGCCAAGTATATTCCGTCCTTTTAGCCGTATCCGCGCCAATATACTCGTGTATGACAAGCTCAACAAACTCCCCGAAAGTGAGCGTATCCTTCACCTTCGCGAGGCGGCGCAGAAATGCAGGTTCCAGATGTGGCAAAGATACAAATGGACATGGGGAAACGGGTACCGGCGATGTCGAGGTCCTCGACACCTCTTGATCCGACTCACATCCCTCGTGGCACCGTAAGGCCTGCATGGAGGTTGGCCAAGCCAAGCCCCAGTCCGCCCAGATCGTGCTGAGCAGGCTGCGAAAAAAGAGGACCTTGGCGGAGCTGTGGTGGCCCTCGGGCGAGGCCGTCGCCCAGAGGTCGTAGGGCTGCGTCGCGAGGAGGAGAGAGATGGCATCGATGGTCATCCCGCGCCGGCGCAGGGCGGTGCTGAGGGGGAAGCCGTGGCGGAGGGCGTGCCAACAGCAGCTCACCAGCGCCAGCCCGCGGGCCGCCGTCCGCGTGAAGATGCGGCAGACGTCCGCGCCGAGGTCGCCGCAGGGGTGGAGGCCGACGACGACGGCGCCGCGCAGGGAGGGGACGGGAAGGGGGGCGCGCAGGGCGGGCACCATCGCCACCGTCGCGTGCACGGCCGCCCTTGCGCG